CTTTGATTTTGCTATATATTATCCCTACCTTTAATGGCAGGCAGAAAAAGGAAAAAAAAAAAGCTTATAATTACTTGGAAAGTTTATAATTGGTTATTAAATAAACTTTCCAAGTAATTTATTAAATGGTTAGATAATGCTTTCAAATTGTTATGATGTGCAGGAATGAATGGAGTGGCCTCTGTTTTTTCGAATACAACTTTCCATCTACAAACAACAAGATCATGGGATTTCTTAGGTTCTAGGGCCCCATCTGGTGAAGCTTCATGGCTTCTAAACGGATTTTGAAGGAACTCAAGGATTTGCAGAAGGTTGTCCTCATTTTCTGTTTCTTTTACCTGCGTTTTTTGTTTATGCTGTCTGCAATAGGGATGGTTCCTGATGGAAATTTTCGATTGGTGATTTAATTTTTAGTTGATGTTGAGTGTTTGCTTTAAATCTTTTCTTTTGATCTTTCAACTTTCATCACTAAGAAGTCGAGGACATGCCTTTCCAAAAAAAAAAAAAAAAAGAAGGGGTTTTTTTCTTCCTTCCCTTCCCTTTCAGACTTCAGACTTCAAACTTCCTTTCTCTTCCACCTTCCATTTGCTTCTGGGTTTAGATGGGTCGATGATGGTTGCCAGTGTCCGGTGAGACCTCTGGGGTTCCTCTATCCAATATATCTCTCTTCTCAGTGGTATCTTGAAGTTTTCTATCTCAATTCCTTACGCTTTCTCTTGCTTTTTGATTTAGATGGCGATTGTTGATGCTGGAGAGGGGGAGAGCAAGTGGCGTGAATTAGACATATTGAGGAGGTGGGTTTTATTTGATCTTGTGTTGTGTATTCTATTTGTTCACGTTTATCTGTTTAGTTCTTTTAATTTCTTACCACATTATTTTTATAATTCTTTCTTTTATGTTTTGTAGTTTCCACCTAATTCTTTGGAAGAGGAAACTGAAGGAAGTAAATGGATTTTATCAAAATTGAAAAAAGAAACTGAGAAAAAGGGAATTAATAGAAGCAAGGGATTCCACAGCTTCAGGTATACATAGAACCGAGCTATCTCAGATCTAGATCAACTCTGGTTATGCATTAATTTTGATTTGCCATAAATGATTTACATTGTTAAAACGGGAGCATGATTTTCATTTTTGTTTGTTTAGATCATTGGTAGTTGATTGTTCTCTCCATATGATTTTTAACTGATTTGTTTTGAAATTCATATGGTTGTAATTGAGTCTTTTTTGTATTGTTTTTTATTTTAACTTTGAAAGCTTTCTTTTTTTATAGTTAGATCATATGCTGTAGTATTATGGATTCATTGTCATTTGGTTTGTGACTTTATATGTTGCCTAAACTAATTTTAGGCACCTTGGTTGAATCCATACTGATTGGGGTCTAGCGTTTACTCATCCATGTGTATTTGTGCTCAATGTTACCCATGACTTAATTTCATTCATGGTTTAGAGTTGAGTTAAGTAATTATTAATTTTATAAGCCCTGGAGTGGTTTGAAGGGCAGAATTGATTGGCTTGATTGCTAACAAGTTTGCCAACTCTTTTTATACATGTTTGCAATTCATCTCAAATTGATTTTGGGTAGTGTTTCTTTATGGAAATTTTTCATGGCTGGTTTTGCCAACTGCATTGAGCTGTAGCCAGAGGTGATTTATACATGCCATTAAGAAATTGCAGAGGCTTATTCTTTCTTTCCATAGTTAGGATAGTTAAAAGAATGTTTGCAAGTTGTAGGGTGTCAACCAGATTCTTTGGATGAATTCAGTTTTGTTTCTTTTCTTGATGTTGCTTAAGTAGTTAAAGTTGCTAAATTGATGGTTGTTTGTGCTTGTTTGTTGTTACTTGGTTTTAGTACAAGTTCTAAAGGGAATCAAACTTATGGTGAGAGGCAAAGGGGAGATGGCGATACAGGTGGTGGAAGAGGTATTTTGTTTTTCAATATCCCCCATTTCTTCCTTATTTTTTTTCCTTTATGTTTTATCTCATTTCATTTTCACTTTTTGGGTTTCTTTGCTTTTGTGAGATTTAAGCACAAGGATAGTTAATAGGGGAAACACAACCCTCTCACAGTTGCTACAATGATCTCATTGTCACACGGTGGGTTTATAAACACCATAATAAACTCTTCTTTTGCTAAAGTTTTTATTTATGTTGCCTGCAAATAGCTATGGGAGCTTGAATAGTTATGAATTTGTTGATCATTTATATTTTTTAATATATTTGTGAGATTTGTTAGTACATTAGAATTTCTTTAGGGATTTGTGACGGTAGAGCAAGAGATTGAGTAGATTGAGTTTAATTTTAGTTAGATGAAGCTGCTGTGGCTACAGATGCAAATTGTTTTTCTTTTTTCTTTTTTTTTTCGGGGTCTATACCAACGGATTATCCATTTGTAAAGGTGAAAGTTTATACCCACGGCAAATTTTTTTTTAAATTTCTTGGGGTCTATACCAACGAACAGGCTTTCTGTGAGAATAGTCCCAAGGGTCTATACAAACGGATTAGGCGTTGGTATAGACCCTATACGGACGAGGTTTCCACCGACTGAAAGTTCTTCCGTCGGAATAGTCCCTGGGGGTCTATACCAACGGAAAATGGGTCTATACAGACAGAAAACTTCCGTCAGTATAGGTACATCTCCTTGTAGTGGTATAATTGTATATATTAATAATTGAGAAACAATTACAATGCAAATTGTACCTTGCCAATAGGTTGAACAAGAAATATAAATAAGTTAGGAAAGACCTATAACACTAACATATAGAGTTAGTTGTTCTTTACAAATAGGAAAATTAAGAACTTAGAATCTCTAAATACCAGTATACATTAGAGGGTTTTTATTAGAGTTATGTAAGAATGTAGAAGGACTACACTAGAGCTTACTATTGCTACTAGTAATCACATCTATTATAGCATCTAAACCTAGCATGAGAGATAAGTGGACTTGGCAATGTGTGTCCCCCAACACTACAATGCTTTGTTTATCCTCAATTGGTTTTCTAACCAGCAGATGGATGAATAGTCTCCGTTAGCATGCCAATAGCAATGCTTGAACTATTAAGTCTTACCATGAAAGCCTTGCCATCACCAAACTCTTCAAGAACCAATTTCCTGTTCTCCATCCTCTCCTTCATCTTTCTTGGTGTCTAAAATGGATTATGCTCAAGCCTTTTCCATGGCTTTTTCAAGCCACACTCCTTTCACTTCATCGAATTGGCTATATGCCGAAAGGGTATATCTCCTATAATGGAATTTGATTGCTATTGACTCAAGACATTATTAACCACACCTATTATTTTACTGGAACTATCAAAATATGTACTAATAAACTGTTGCTCCTTACCAACTTGCTAAGCACCATGGGAAAGTTGATTTCTATTAGATAACTCCCTTTCCAATGGAGAATCAAGTTTCGGCACATTATTTGGAAGGCTAACAACTTGTTATCGAATAAGACCAACTCTTCAAAAGTTTCTAGTCCCCAATAATCATTCTTAGCACATAGCAATGTGCTATAAGGATAAGATACCTTTGTTTCAGTTTCCTTAAATCAAAAACTAATCCCACAATAAAAAACCACACGTACATACATCCACATACATCCACATATAAAACAAAACTCTAGTAGTTTTTCATACTTCATTTGAACCTAGCAAATGTTTGTGGCAAAAATTTTGATATTCTTGAAATATTTTAGTGGATTATTTACCTCAATTTGGATACGAACTTGTAAAGCCTAGGTAAAAGAATCATCCACTTCAAGAATCTTACCCATATTGTTTCTGATTTAGTAGCCTACTTCCTCCCCATTCAATCCATGGGGAAGTCCAAATAGTCGCACCCAAAAAGGAGATATGGAGAAATCATAATTGTTTGGGGCTAAGGGTTTATCAAAATGTTTCAAAATAATCAATGAGCAATCAAAATTCTAGGTGTATTCCTATTGGATTCTAAGAGTTTGTTTTTTTATCTCACTTGTGTATTACTGTTGCGTTAATTTGTTTACTAGGTGTTTTAGTTGTTTAACTTTGTAAATGGATTGGAGTATCTCTTATACTCCTTATAATAAGATTTTCCTTTAATTTGCTGATAAAAAAAATTAAAATTATGAGAATACCTCAATCAAAAAAAATTATGAGAATAGCCTGAAGTTTTTGAATTGGTATTCCAAACATATAATAATATTAAATCAATAAGTTACAAATGGTATTTGTGAAAATGTATAATGAAGATACAAAAGGAAACTTGTAGCATAAAAATTTATAAGAAACTTGAAATTGATTTTGAGAAAATACTATCTTTTGGTCAATTTTTATTATTACCATATTTTTTTAAAAGTCTCTAAAAAAAACTTCAAATGCATTTTATGGATGTTATAATATGTGAATACATGATAATTATAATTATATGAAAGTCCTTGAAGGTCATGAGAAATCTGCACCTTAATATGCTTGAAACATATAATTCCTAAAGTTTATATTGGAAGCATAGAATGAAGTTTCATTCTTGAAGCATTTAACTCAAAACTAAGAGTAATGTTTTTGTATCGAATTGATGCAATAGTTACAATCATTGTAATAAAAACTTTCTAAAAGAAAAAATTGAAAAATGTCACATTATTTCAAATATTTCTGCTACGAGAGTGAATGTGAAATTTGTGTTATTGTTGTAGAATATGTTAATAATTTAAATATTATTAGAACTTTTGAAGAGTTTCCATTAAACAATAGCATAATCGAAACGATAATTATGAGAATAAAAATCTCAAAATAATAAAATTTTGACTTTGTCTACAAATTAAGCACTTAAGTTTGTTTTTTTTTTTTTTTTTGTCATCATTCAAATTATGAATACGAAATTTTGGAGTACTTCAACATGAATAAAGGCCTTTGAGCTCACCAATGGTAGTTTAATCCTTTAACATAAAGGATGACACTTTTCATCTTTGAAAAATGATTTTTGATCTAGAAGTATCATATTTTATTGCAATCAATGCATTAATATATCTTGTTTATAATATGTATGTTATGATACAACATTTTTTGAAAATTCATTGGAAAGATTTTCTTATATACTAACTTGAAGTCACTAAAGTGGACTTACATATATTTTCTTTCCTTCAATAGACAATTGTTATATAATTGTTATACCTAAGCATTCAAAATCCAAGTTAGTTAGATATGCAGATTCTAAATATTTATTATATCCATATAAAGTATGATTACAAAATGGATAATTATACATGCACCCAAACAATCAACACCTATCTCAACACCCAAGGCTTATGAACAGTAAAATTACAAATTTACCCTTCTTCATTTTAGCCTTGGGTGTTGAGATGGGTGTTGATTGTTTCGGTGTATGTATAATTGTCCTTACAAAATATAATATTTATACACAAATATTAGTATCCTTATGGTAGCCACATCCACAAATAATTCAAGAATATTTGTGTAATTTCATAATGTTTTTGGAGTGGATTGTAGATCTAACATGTGCAATAAGAATATGGACTTATTATGCAAGGATAATGGTAAAAGCATTGCACAATTAATGAATGGTTATATTAAAGGAAATATAATTAATGCATATCTAACTAAAATTTTTCTTTACGTACAAACTCCTAAAGATAAACAAAATAATGAGAAATGTTTTTGTATCACCTTTTTGGACAAATTAACATGTCATTTAAATAATTAGTTCTTTTAATTCATATGAGATCTGTAATATTAAATGTATCCACCCATTTAATAACATGTGAAAGTTATATCAAGAGATGGTATAAAAAAGTTGTTTCTATAGCACTGTCCTAAAATAATCATTTATCAAATCTATTTTGGTGAGAATCCAATAGATTCTCTTTACAAAAATCATTGGCTAATAGAACTTTAGAGCAATTGAGACACAAAATTGGCAAATTTCACCTCAATTAAGGGTAAATACTGTATGCACTAAACTCTTTTTTTCTTTGCCATCTTTTTTTTTTTTTTTTTCATTGGTTTTCCCTAATAAGGTTTTTAATAATTAACACAATTACACTAACATATTATAAAAGGTGAACATCTAAAAAAGGAGTGTTATGAATCAATTCATTATAAATATTTCACCTTCCTCATCTCTCCACTTTCTCCACTTTCTTATGCATTTACATGCTTAATATAATGGTGTTTAATTAACTCCCCAACTTTTTCATGCATCTAATGGTAATTTATTCTTATTTAGTAATAATTAACTCTTGTATTGTCACTCTTAGTTGTTCAAAAATAAAATAAAATAAAATAAAAAACAAAAAATAATTCTTATAACTCCTACCACTACTATTTTATATATAGAGCTTGTTATTGTACGTGAAAAATATGAATAATAAATGAAAAATAAGCCTCTTCATGGTCTCGTTGTCTCACTTTGTCTCTCTATTTCAAACTTCTTCTACTTCTTTTCTTTATTTTATAACAAGTAGCTTACTTTTACTAAGTTATTTTTTTAGAGTTATTTATTACTTATATCATTCAACTTTAACTGTTTTATTTTTTAATTTGAAGT